GGGCACCATCAGCTTTCTTCACCACATTTGCTTATTCACCCGTTTTGTCTTCAGCGGTTGTGTCGGGAAGGTGAGCATCATAGAATCATGCCTGTATTTAGACCTCTATAAATGCCCTTTGCTTCCTACTTCTTTCCTCTATTTCCTTTTACTTTCCTCTTCACCCACTATCATGCTCAGCCTTCATTGCCCTTGATCAAGCCATACCAGTCCTCTTACACCCTGCTCTCCAGTGATATTGGATCACTTGTTGTTCCCTTGTCCCTGGTTTGTTAACACCACTTCCTCTCCCCCACCTCCCCTTCTCCAATGCCACCCTGGAACTGTCAGTCCTGTTGTTTTCTCCTCCAAATTGTTTATCCAGCCTCTCATCTAGATAGACCTGCAGAGATAATAATATGCAAGACACAGTAAAAGAACAACAAAACAATAACAACAACAAAAGAAAAGTCTGTAAATAGTTCAAGGTCTGTTTGTTGACCTTTAGGAGTGTTTTACCTTCCCTCCAGAAGAATTTTCTTCATAGGACAGCACTGAAGCTACAGCTCAGGGCGAGGGACATGTCTGATATAAACACTTGGGAGCAAATGAAGCGGGAGGAAGAGAGAGTGGAGCTCATCCTTGCCCACCAAGCCTTAAGGATGATACCCTTGCTCAGAACAGCCAATGCACAGAGAGGACCATATGGCCAGCCCCACTATGAGACACGACATCCCTCACTGACCCAGAGCCCTACAGGGGATGACACTGGAGACATTGGGAATTGCGCCTGATCTGACCCCATCACACTGAGTTAGACACTATGGGCATGCAACAGAACAGCAAGGAGAACAGAGTAAAAAAGTCCTGAGGGAGTACCAAAAATAGACCTGGCACCGCATCAGACTCAACGCTAGTGCCTAGTTTTTAAGGAGAAATGAGATCACTTCTTTAGGAGAGTTCAGTATTCCATGGGATTTTTGTCTGAATAAATGTCTTTAATGCTTCTTTCTGAAGGTGATGTGTTACATATTCTCCCAAACAGCAGCATTCTCATTAATGCTTCTAGAATGGGCATTGTAGCAATTGTAGTTTAAAAATGGTTAACAGCTTGTCACCTCCTCAGACTGTAGTTGTAGGAGAGAGAATCAACTGTCGGCATCAGCCCTGATTCCTATGAGGCAGCACTTAAATAGACCTATACCCTCCAATATTTTCCAGTTCTGACACCAGTTATCTTTCCCACAGTCCGCTCCTACTCAGCTCATTTATTTTTTCAGTGGTCATGTACAAATTACAGTCCAGAGTCACAAATACAAGTTTTATTCCATAACCGAAGGTAATTTGGTATCAGAATTAATAGGCTGCACATTAGGATTCATATTAAAGAACCATGTAGGCAAATTTGCTCTTCTTCAGGGCAGATCTCTTGTCTCTGTTCCTCTCAGAGATATTTTGCCTCCTGAAGGTAAGCTCATTTCTGTTCTGTCTGTATAGGATCCTGTCATCTCCTTGGGGATATCCTCCTCTTGATCTTGCCTGCCTGTCCCACTATCTTGGCTAAAGAACCCTGTTTGGACCTGTCACCATTGGCTCTGTCATTGTGTCCCTTCTGCCCTGGTCATTATCTCCATTGGTACAACTCTTGACCCCTGATTATTACAGTGCATTGTGCAGGACCAGCTGTAGGCCAGTTCCTATGAGGCAGAGGTTCAAGATGTTCCATGATTTGCTCTGCAGTATCTCACAAAACTAAATAGTCATCAAGTAAATAAATCCCTCTTCAAGATGTGGAAGCTGGTGAGTCCCAAATCCATAGGGCAGTCAGGTGTCAGTCTGGAGGGTTGTCCTCATTAATGTGTTTACAAAGGTAGATGAACCAGAACATCAGGTCAGACAACAGTCCACTGCCTCACCAGGTGAAGTTCTTGTATCTGGTCAGAGAATAGGTTGCAGGGGCTGAGGGGTCCACATTGAAAGGTCATACAGCAGGCTGTTGGTTCATGGAGTGGAGGAAAATCAATTCAGGTCACACGGGTGGCTCCTAGTTGCAGTGATGTCAAGGACTTGGCTCCTGCATTTCTGGAAGCTGGCAGATCCCCAATCCATGGGTTCATTCTGAACACACACAAAAAAAATTTTGTTTGCAGGGGCTAACAAAACCAAATCAATAGGTCAGATGACAGGCCAATGTCTCACTGTTTCTTCTCAACCATGCCTGTAGGCAGTTCTCTCTTTTCCTCTCTCTAGATCTTGAAATGGTAGCTTCTTGGGCCAACCTTGCACCTTCCCTGCCTAGGAAAGATTAGGAGGGCTCCAGAGGTTCAGCCAATGGCATCAGAACTAGGAGGGGCCCACTGGAGAGCATGTGATAAAATATGGCAGGTCCAAGAGAACCTTGTAATTACAGTTAAGGCAATACTGTCTGAAGGGGGTTGAGAGGAATTTTTCCTAAGGTAGACAAGACATGTTTGTCCTTAGGTGACCTCTAAGAGCTTAGAAAGTTCTCCACTCAGAAGGAAGATTTTGCCTATGAGCTTTCTGATCTTGGTCCTGATCCTGAATTGTACCTTGTTCGCTAATAAACCACTTTCATCTATGAGTTTTGTGTGGCCATAGGAACGGATTATCAAATCCAGAAGAGAAACAAAGAGTGGTGTGGGTGGAATGACTTGTGTAAGAATTCATAAAAAATATTGGAGAGCTGAGGTATATTTGACCTCCCACCTCTAAACTGAGCCTGGTACCTATTGTCCCTGAAGGTACAGGGCCTCGCGTAATGATGATAATGCTCGGACTCCTGATTTCATTTCAAAATATACTGTAAACTTGTTTGTTAATATAAACTGGTATGGCTTTATGTACTGTGTGGAAATCTGAGATATTTCTAGTACTTTCAGATAATTTCACTGCTACTCAAAATTCTAATTTTATATGTGGGTTCATTATTGTTGGGGTATGGGTGTCCCCAACACTCAAAATGGTCCTCAGGAGTGACTTTGATTGTGGAAGATATTAAAGAGACACTGACAGCAGTGCACAGGGGCGCCTCATCCCATGTTAGGACTGAGAGAGTGAATGAATTTTTCAATGGGTATGTATAATGTGGTTTAGATCTTTCATAAGGCATGCATGTCATACAGTTAAATGTATACACAGTCGATGGACAATATTATAAGCAGGTAACATATTAAAGAATCAAGGAGGTAAGTCACCATGTGGCCTGGCGGTAGTTGACTTCAAACCCTCCATCCCCACCCCGAGCTCTGGCTAGGGGTTTACTACAGTTATGGTGGGTTGGCTGTAGTACCTGATGGCTCTAATCTACAGATAACCTTCAGGCATAGTGAAGTAGCCAGACCCAGAAATGATTAATCTACTATGATAGCTTCTTTAAGGCTGCTCCTTAATGGAG